ACACCCTCATTTGTCCCCCCAGGGGGACGGGGAAGCACCAAGACCCCCATTTGTCCCCCTGGGGAGGCACCGACTGCCCCTTTTGTCCCCCCAGGGGGATGGGGAGGCACCAAGACCCCTGTTTGTCCCCATCGGGAAGCACCAAGACCCTCCATTTGTCCCCCTGGGGAGGTGTCAACACCCTCATTTGTCCCTCCAGGGGGATGGGGAGGTGCCGAGACCCCTGTTTGTCCCCATGGGGAGGTGCTGAGACCCCCATTTGTCTCCCTGGGGAGGCACCGAGACCCGGTTTGTCCCCCCGGGGAGGTGCCAACACCCTCATTTGTCCCTCCAGGGGGATGGGGAGGCGCCGAGACCCCTGTTTGTGCCCCTGGGGAGGTGCTGAGATCCCTGTTTGTCCCCTCGGGTGGCTGGAGAGGCGCTGAGACCCCCCATTTGTCCCCCCGAGGGGACAGGGAGATGCCAAGACTCCCCATTTGTCCCCCCGGGGAGGCGCCGAGACCCCCATTTTGTCCCTCCTCCGTCTCCTGCAGAGAACTACGAGCGCCTGGAGGCCGACAAGAAGAAGCAGGTGCAGAAGAAGCGCAAGTGCGTGGGGCCCGTCATCCGCTACTGCTCCGTCACCATGCCCCTCATCACGGAGCTGGGCAAGGAGGAGAACGTGGACGTGGAGGGGTAGGGACGCGCGGGCGGGCGCCAGCTCCGGCCCCCCGGCTCCATCCCGTTGCGCCGACGGAGAGACGGGAGCCAGGCTCCCTAATCCTGCCCTTGAGCCGGGGGATTTGGTGGCTCTGGGAGTCGCCTCGGGGTTTCCCCCCGTGTCCCGCCCGAGCTAATTCCCGTCTTTCCAGGTTGGATCAAGACGCGCAGCAGGCGGAGGCGGCCCCGGCGCCGGGCGGCAAGTGCTCGCGGACCTTCATCACGTTCAGCGACGACGAGACCTTCGAGCGCTTCTTCCCCAAGGCCAAGCAGCCGCGGCTGCCCGTGCGCGAGCTCTGCCCGGTGACGCACAAACCGGCCGTGTACCGGGACCCCATCACCGACATCCCCTACTCCAGCATCCGCGCCTTCAAGATCATCCGCGAGGCCTACAAGAAGTACATCACGGCGCACGGGCTGCCCAGCGC